ACTGCTTTCCCACTCAAAGTAAAAGTCAAAAACAAGTCAAAAAGTGTCCATGAGCACCAAACTAAGCTAATCAGTGTTACTTGCAACCAATCTGACAATATGTAAAGTATATTTCATTGCAGAAATTTAAGATGACAGACATTCCACCTCTCCTGGAAAGTCTGGGAGTCTCCTGCATATTAATAGCGGCTCCCTGATGCACGTAATTTAAATATAACCCACTGGGAATCTACATCACAGCATGTTGCATTATGTGTTATGTATTCTCCATATTAAAGCCCACCATCAAAAGCATACAATGTCAACAAATAAAATAAATAGCCTACTGTTTTGTACTAATACTTTTTGAAATAGGCTTAGAATCACTTAGAATAAACTGAATTAATATGTATGTCTTCACACTAAAGAAGGCTCTAAGGGGTTTGAGAAACACTGCAAATAGTCATTCAATCTGTACACAAAAAATAAATGCACTGCAAAAAGGGCAGCCCACAAAGGAAAACATTGAGGGACCCCAAAAAGTGATGAACCTGGCTGGTTCTTATTTTGTTCTCTGATCTAAGAGATTATTAGGGCTAAAAGTATACAAAATATACATTTATTCAGTCTCATGAATGAATAGTCTTTCAGGGTACCCACCGGGATCCTCCAAATTAAATTTAAGGCTTTTTAAGACCTTTTTAATACCATTTCAAATGAAATTTAATGGCAACTTTTTTACCCATTACGACTGAAGTATGAGGGGAAAATGTGAAATCTGTATAAAATTTAAACCCTCAAAAATAAATATGTACAAGTCGGCTACTTAAATTAAATAAAGCATTTTATTTCAATCATCAGTAATATTTTATACATATGCAACATCGTGGTCGTCCACCCAGTAGCGAATATAAAGGTCCAACTGCTTACATTTCGTCATCCTATTGAGACTCTCGTCAAACTTGACCACAAATCCGTTAGCCTCATTGGCCTGGTCAGTCAGATCTTTAGTTATAAAATGAGCTAATCCGAATTTATTAATATATGCACTTTTGTTGCTTCCACATGAGAATAGCTGCAACCTCTGAGTTAGGAAACATGGTTTTGAAAACCTCTGTAATGTTCTCATTCGATGTGTAAGAGTGGTGTTCAGAGATTGTTTTAAATACCAACATCACTTCTGCCCGCAGAGTTGGTGTTGAGCCACAGTAAGATAAGATGTCCCTTGGCTGTGGTGGCAATGCTTCTAATGTAGAATTTTCTTTAAAACTGATAGCACAGAACTGCACATTAGGTGGTTGGCGCTGACGAGCAGTACTACACGCGGTGTGTTTGGCACCCCTCATATAGAAGTCCAGGGCCATAACACCAATCATCGCTAGCTTAAAAGATTTCCAGCACCAACAGCAGTAGGCGCTGCGGTCATTTACTGGCACAGGCTTGACCCAAGCGTAATTCGGTTTTCTTGGCCACAGCGGATTAAACTGACACTTTTATCAATTTTATCCAACACAATTTCAGCCGACAAGCTAGGCTAGCGACTATCTTGTTCTGTACCTCACTTACCTAGTAATCATAGTAATGGGTGCGCACAATTTAGCGTTTTCTGCTATGATGTGGAGTGAGAGATGCACTCAACGTTACGCTGCATGAATTTTTATGTAGCCTACATTAGTAACAGTTAATTTTGTTACTTGTAACTTAATTCGAGGAAAGGCAAAAATAAATAAATAAATAAAATAAGACCTTTGTAATAAAATCCAAGACTGCTTACCAGATTCTAGGCTATTAAGGCCTTAATTTGAGATGATCAAATTTGAGACTTTTTCAATGCTTTTAAGACTGCCTTAAAGTCTCTATTCCGCCATGAACCCCTAAGTATTCCAGCATATGTTTTACGCAACGGGTGCCCTTACAGCCTCAACCCAGTACTGGGAAACATCCATACACACTCATACACTAGGGGCATTTTAGTTTATTCAATTTACCTATACCACATCTCTTTGGACTGTGGGGAAAACGGGAGCACTCGGAGGAAACCCACACGAACACAGGTAGAACATGCAAGCTCCACACAAAAATGCCAACTAGCCCAGCCTGGATTCGAACCAGCAACCTTCTTGCTGTGAGGCGACAGTGCTAACCACTGTGCCACCTACGTTCATTATATTATATTACATAATATACAAGCAACAAGAAATCGTACTGTATAATTCGGATGTTAAAATTAGCTAAAGGATTCACCAGGTTCATCTCTTTTTTTGGTCCCCGAACAAATTTCTATTGTGGTCTGTGCTATTTGCAGCATGTTTCTGTATGTGTGAGCTTGTGCTGTCCAATTGATGAAGATGTTTTCTCAATGTGTCCTTGTTTTTTTATTTGCATGTGTTTGTTTGTTTTTTACTTGCAGCGCGTTTAAGCTCCCTTGGCCACTATAAAAAAATAATATTAGCAATTCTTAAAGCATTGATAAATTACATTTACAAAACTAACATAAAAAATTATATCATGTTACAAGGTGTTCTTTTGAACTTCACATCCTGACAAAAAAACGGTGTCACCATTCCCATGTTAAGTAGCACAACTGAAATGTTTCATCATCATAAATTAGAATTTAAGAAGGATCCGGTGCCTGTCTTTGAATATCATCACAGGGATTTTTTTTCCCGATTTTATTATAATATTCAGTATTATTGCATTTTTTTTTTATTAATTTAAGCTTCTTGGTAGAAATGAGAGACATTTAAAAACTGTACCAACCCCATATTTTTCATCAACAGTATAATAGTAAAAGTATTAATAGGACAAAATGCCTGTATTTAGATATTTACCTGCATTGGGTTGTGTTTTAGGCTTAACAGACATTGCTGTAAAATTTATAAATAATCATACATTAATAAATAATTATTTAATATTGCAATTACAATTTTAAACAAATCTACATTTTTATTCACCTTTTAGCGAGCAATAACTAAAACATCTTCACTACTTTCAAGTTACATTAGGTAAAACAATCAAATATACATCAATGTGCTCTTCTGGATAAGTCTGGTTAATTATACCAATTGACACGTACCAAAGAAGGTCCTCACTCATTAATTTATTTAATAAGTTGAAATAAAATCAAACTGCCTTTGCACATTCGCCAGGTGGACTCTATATCCAATTTTAAATCTCAGATAAAAATGTTTTTGTTTAGGATAGCTTTTAACGATTTGTGGTTTATGTTAATTGTTATTTTAATACTTGTATTTTTTATGATGTGCTTGTGATCTGCTGTAACATGTCTTTGAGTGCTTTCGTCAGTGTCACATTAGGTAATACATAATATTTAACATAAAATATGCAGAAAGCAACATTAATGATCAAACAGATAAATACAAGTGTTTACAAGACATAAACACCCAGTAGATCAGGTGGCATTTCCTTCACAGCCCAGTGATTTATAGGCCAACCAACAATACAAAACCATTCATTACTTCCCTTCCTCATCTCACCTGACAACATAAAACCAATAAACCTTCCTCTCTCCAGAACTGGACAATTTTTGTAAACATACTGAGTGAAAAGAGGCCTTCGGTTTTCCAAGAATCATCAAAGTGTTCAAAAACCAAAGTTCATGCCGCAAAAACTGCAGAACCAAAATATAAGCATTTTTCACACGCCCTCAGAGTCAAGACAGGTATGCTCATGCAGCAGTAACAGGCCAGAACACACATGAGGCTTCTGAGCTCAAAGGCTCCTCATAGGCAGGATCTGCCCTCCACAGCAGGTGAGGTGTCTGACCCACCGTAGACCAACAACATCGGCCCAAACTCACAGCCTGCAGTAATAGGTGGCTGCGTCGGGTTATGTAGCACTAGGAGGAGATTCAGAAACAGCTTTGATGCCAATTGGTTTCAAATTGAATAGGCTTCTATTTCAAGAGAGATTCATGTTTTGAAAATAAAGCAATGATATGTGTTCTCTAAATACAGCTAAGCCATTTGGGTGGTACTGATGGATCAGCATAATTAGAGTCAGTGAATGTTTTTCTGGGAATGCAAACAAAGACAAAATCACAAGCCCACAAAGAGACCAATTTCTCTTTATAAAATCTCCATGGCCGCTACTTTACTGCCTGATGTAAACATAATGAAATTAAAAATAAGCCCCGCTCTAAACAGAAAAACACTGCAATACCCTCATTTTACTACTGAAGCAAAATGATGCTTTCATGTGCAAATAAACCAGTTGAGCTGATATGAGATTTATTTAGAATGTATCTTGTTACATAGTCTTAACACATTTGCAATACCACATTCCTTGTGTGCCTGATATGTGAGCCACCTAAGCATGACGATTAAATATCTGCATGAAGAACGAGGCAACCCGCCCAAAAGAGCGACAAGTGCAGCACGTAACAAAGAAAGATGATGATGGAACAACAGGTGGCTCCCAAACAGACTAATGTGGGGGTTCGACACCCGTAATTCAAAGTCCTAAATGGGGGTTGAAAGGAGATGATGGGTGCCTTTAAAATATGTTTTCGCTCTGGATATGATTCTAACAAACAAAGTTTGAGTTAACGAGATCTCCAGGTGCGTTTGCCCGCGAACACAAATCACCTTTGCGTGAGGAGGTAACCATGGCAACAGCTGCAATATCGTCTTAATTTGTCGGGAGTACATAATAAAAAAACATAATTATTGATATTATGCGTTATTGTGGATTTTGCAGGACACTGGGGTGGTCTTTTGTTAAAAATAGCTGAAGTAGTTATCTGGGGCAGAGAACGATTGAGCGATGTGAACCTCAAACTAGGACTGCGCCCAGAAAATCACTGACGCGTTTGAAAAGTTGTGCTCCTTAAAAGTCACTCCGAAAACCACATTTATAATCCATATCTCTTGCAAATAGTTCTAAAGTAACAAGAAACAGCGCTGAAAATCGTCTACGGAGAGCTCTGTGTAGAAAACACCCCTGAAAAAGTCAAAGCAGGTTAAACGGCGGCTGAAAATAGCGCGTAATCAGCGGCTTACCTGCGGGCGCAGCGCAAGCGAGAACAGGCAAATCACAGTCCAGTGTAGTCCGCGCTTTACATCCCTTATCATTGCCCTAACAGCACTCCTTCTGTCCGAACTCGAGCTTTCCCAAGAGTGCCAACTCTTTCGGTCTCTATCCAATCTCATAGCTGACATTTGCGCACTTGTCCTGTGCGCGCTGATCAGCCTTGTCTTGCTTGGTGACGCTTTCTTTACACTGTCCATCTGTCCATCATGAAGACACGGCGTGAAAACGGGCATATGAATGATGCTCACTCAGGTAAGTAAGACCACCAAGGTCTTTCCACACTCCGCGCGGAGTCCAGGGCGCCTCCTCCTCCTCTTGCTCTTCCTCCTTCCACCTGCTGCAGTTAAGAGGCTTTGTATGTTAGACCTGCTGACCTATAGACTTGAGCTTTCATCCCATTTACTTTCCCAGTGACTGAAAGCACTTCTTTACTCTCGCGTCAACCGGATAGGCTGTGCTCTCAAAGCAAAGCGCTGCAAGAGCAAGACTGCGCATCGCCTGGGAAGCTGTAGCGGTTAAAGTTGCCAGTAGAGGGTGTGTCCTCCGCATGGGTATATCCGTCACCTATCTTGAAAATAATACCCGATTTTCTGTGAGGCTACGTATTTAGAAATGTAAAATCTATCCACGTATCCAGGCGTATTTTTGGAGTTTGTTAGTGTTAAGAGTGCTGCTACACCCCGACCAGTTTCACAAATGGGTAATTCTTCAAATACAGACACTCATATATCCAAAATATAAAGGCTATAATTTTGTTCAAATTTCTCTTTCTTTGTCAAACTAACAATAAAACCTAGCCTATTTTTTTTTAAATGTACTAGCTTTCTGTTATATGTTTTTCGTATTATTCAACCTCCTTTTAGGTGTCAAAATTACTGTTTTCGCCTCACACATCCAGAGTTTAAAAACTTCAACAATTAAAATATCATTTTAAAATGTTATTTATCTGGTATCTATTATTGTATCTTAATTAAGCACTTGTGAAATAATTTAAATATTTTATACTTATTAATGTGAGACTATTATCAATATTGTTTTTATACAAAACATAGCTGTCGCACAGTATTATATATTTCCACCACAACACTGTAGTCGCTTTAAAAAGTTTGTGTGAAAGATTATTTAGGTGGTTTCTATGAAAATGATTAGTGTCATCACTATTGTTTAAGATGGAGGGAATTAAAATTTGTAGCAATAACACTTGAAGAAAAATCTAAATAAATATTGCTTGATAAGGAAATACATTTATTCTACGTCATTTCCAAACATGCTGTACCTTCAGAGATGTTTTTAAAAACCAAACAAAATTAAGGTAAATAAGATTGTTTTGTATACATGAAAGGCTAGTATCAATTCAAAGCTAATCCTTGAAGCTATTTCTCACAATAAACTGTTCAAATGTCATTTCCACCACTGTCATTTCCACCACCACACACATTTTTAAAAATATATTTGAAAAGTTCTCATCACACGTTAAAAATGTATTCACAATGTATAAGTTCATGCTCTATTTAATATACAAATTCAGTTTATTTATTTTCTAAAAAGCTCTTAACCAATTTAATCCTACATTTTAGTGTAACAAGTGTACAATTCAGCATACATCTAATTTATATCATTGACAAACGCATAATTATTGTATATATTGTAGAAAGGTTGGTTAAACTACATACAAAAAAGATCTTAGACAATGTTTGACTGAATATTGAGTTGTGGTGGAATTGACATTTGTTCAGATCACGATGGAAAAAAAAATGTTTCTCTTCTTATTTAAGTGTGTCCGCTTACAGATCTTAAAACTAAACAAATTGTATAAACTTATTAGGCTACGTGAATTTTGAACAAGCTTTTTTTAAACTCAACTTCACAAGGCTGAAAGTGTGCGTAGTTAAGGAATGGCCCAAATATGAAAATAAATGAGTAGCCTATATTCAAATGTGAATTCATCGTGATACTAATCACATTTACTTGTTCAGTATAAGCTAAAAATACACACTTTGAAAAAAAGAAGTCGTCATGATGAACGTTTTATGACGTGTTTAGAGTTCATTATTTCCCTCCTTTTTGTTTTTCACATGATGGCAGCCATGATGACAAATCTAACAATTGTCCCTTTTAACAATACTGTTATGACTCGTTTAACTGTCAACACAATCTTAAATGCTTAAAAGTTTTTAATATTTCCATTTTTAAAAACTTGACATGTATTAGACCTACTGTATATCACCTTTGCATCAAACTACAATAAAATACTGCTTGTGTGAGGTGTTTGAAATGCCTGTATACGCGCAGGACAGTAAATTTGACGTTGTTCTCTCTTCTGGCTACCGTTATCAATCTCACACTTTCCTCCCTTTTTTAAAGTCTTGATATTATCAAAGTCGAGTTGTTCTTCTATTATTTCAGCAAATAGGATTGTAAAAAAAATTGCTCTTCTCTCCTATTCACTGCTCTCTATGTTTACCCAACTATAATGACTTTCACTATGAGAAACCCGAAAATGTAAAAAGGGTCCATTTTAAAACACCCCTTTTTCCTGGTCCTGTTTGTTGTCTGTGAAACTGTGAATCTATCTGAAAACGACTGTAAAACTATGGGAATTGCCAGTAATATAATGCACTGGACTTGTCTGGAAATTCTCAATAGGGTTTCTTTTCAAGTATACTCCCATGGCAGTTGTGGAATAATAGGTCTCAAGCTTCACTTAATCTCCGAGCATGATCAAAGTGCTGCGGCACCAATTAAAAGACCCTGTCAGAGGCTGGACAATAGACAGACAGAGGCCTGTTACATTCAATACTCATGCACATTTACATTACCGTCAGCTTATCACATCATAGGCAAAAAGTGGAAACGGCAGGCTTTCTCTGACTTAATCATTAGGTCGCTGGGTAAGAACAAAGCTGTACACCCCGAGCACAGCTATTCAGAAGTTTAGATGCCAAAATCCTGTTTGTGGGGCCCTATTGCTCCTGAAATGAATATGGATGATTGAACATTTCACAGGGACTGATTATTTTGATGTTTACAGTTAGATCTGTCATTGCTGAGGACCACACACAATGACTGTAAACGGTTTATAATTCCAAATAGCTAAAGAAATAAATGGAAAATGTCAATAAAAATGAACTTTAGAATTTTAGGAGTCTTTTAGCCATGGGTTCTTTCAGAACTACACTGGGGAAAAGATCTGTTATTTAACATTGCTTTATTTTGTGATTCACATGTGTTTTCTATTTATTTACGGTTGTGAATTGTATTATAGGAACCTTGATCTCTGCTTTGTCGACTTTTGATGTTGAAAATGTATTGACATTTTAGTAATTTGAAATCATAAAATGTATTAGAAATAAGATAAAATAACAGAAAATTTACTGGCAGTTTATTACACGGTTAATGTACAAAACCAACCCAGACAATGTATCACTTTAAACCATTAACAATGTAAATAAAAGTCACTTTGTTCAAACTTTTAGTTTGGAAAAAAAAGTTTAAAGCTTAAAAAGTTGCTGGAAGAAAGATTAGGTCCAATAATTCAATTCAAAAGCATAAATAAATGAGGAAAAATAAAAACATGAATCACAAAATAGAGAAAACTGCTAATTTAAGGATATGTTTTACAATGTAGTGAATTGGCTTTGGTATTAAAGAGCTCCTATGATGAAAATCAGCTTTTGTAAGCTATTTGGGCAGAACTGTGTGTATGTATAGTGTGTCCACAGTCATATTGGAGCGATAGAAACACAATAAGTCTCTTTTTTTTATTCTTGACATTAAAATGGGATCCAAATCCCAGTGATTTTGAAGCCCATCGCAAAGTAATGTAGGAGTGCAGTTTTTCCGCACATTGAATTGATTAACAGGTGCCATGTTTCCATAATAACATGTATACACATGTCCACAGAACATCTTTTGCAAATAAACTGGGATTAGACATGTTAATAACTCTCTGTGATCAGCTGCACCTCAATAAGTATTTTATTTTAGGTTGAATAGGTATTTAAAACAGAGCATGTTTGTAATAAAAAAAAAGAGTAAACTCTCTTTGTAATTCTTAACCACTATAATCACTACGGCTGCATGGTGTCAGTTAACGAGCATATGTGTGTGTGTTTGTGTACTGCAAACGGCACTTGTGTGTGACTCACCGTTTCAGACTTGAATAGACTCCACCACAAATACATCAAATAAACTTACTTTTTTTTTCTTACTAGTGACCTTATTTTAGCTTCATCCGTGTATGTCTCTATCACTGACGGCTGTGTATCTGTTGTAACGCAGGAGAAGCAGACATGCACGTCGAATTGGTGGACAGAGAGAAGCAGCTCATTTAGATTTAAAGTCACAGGCTACAAAATAGGCCGAAAATTACACCAAAATTGTCTGATTCTACATTATATAATAAATAATCTGATGGGTATTTTGAGCTTAAACTTTATAGCATGTGTCTAAAACCCAATTCCTGGAGGGCCGTAGCTCTTCACAGTTTTGCTCCAACCCTATTCAAACACAGGTGATCCAACTAATAATGGTGTTCAAGAGTAGTGTTGAACACCTTGATTATTTGGATCAGGTGTGTCTGATTAGGGTTGGAGCAAAACTGTGCAGAGCTACGGCCCTCCAGGAATTGAGTTTGAGACCTATGCTTTACAGACACATTCTAGAGACACCAAAGTCTTATCTTACATATTGTAAAAGGGGTCAAATTTGTGTCCTTTAATCTGTTTAATCATGTTAATCCAGATTTAAATCCAGCTCACCCTAAAGCAGACATTTGACTGATTATTGTGAAAAATACAAAGCTACATTCCCTCTGCCTTTTAGATCTCTACATCAGGAAAAAATCCCAGTGTGTGCGTAGAGTAGAGATGAAGGCAGTTACTACTATACAAAGCATCTGCTTTATGCTGAAAATATAATGAGCCGATTTTATTGACTCAATCCTGTTTCCTCCCCCCAGCACGGGATGGACTTGTTGCTGACGCGCACATCCCTGGAAACCGGTTATTTCCCAAAGTAGAGTGACCCGTGGCCAGAACAGAGAGCTCTTCAAGTCCGGCTGTGATTAGCATAGAGAGGCACTGACCTCGACTCAACTGAATTTTAATCACTTTTTATTCTCACTGACTCTATGAAGTCTCGTTTGCGGTTAATGCTTAAAGATAATGATGCCATTAATGGATTCGTTAAAAATATCATAAGCTGACTGGAATTACACCTGTATGGTTGTAGATCTCCAACCAACACATTAATCAAAGTATTTCTTAATAATAGTGTGGATGAATTACCAGCACACGCTTAAAAAAAAATAAGGATCGTTTTTGCACTGTAAAAAGTGATTAGTTACTTTATCAGCGGGTTTATTCACCTTTTAAGTGGTCAGCTAATTCGTTTTTACTGTGGAATCTACAGTATGGTTACATTATAAAACTTTAACTGTTTAACCAGGGTTTACTTAATACAGTAACACACTTAACACACTTAAATATCAGTAGCAAACATGAGTAGACAAAAGTGTTTGACCTATTTATTCAAAAATTGTAAAAGCATATATATATATAGTATATAGTTGAATATATATATATATATATATATATATATATATATATATATATATATATATATA